CCTCAGGAGCGCAGCACCATCTCCCTCTCATAGCGGAGTCACCTGTCCTGCTTTGGCTAATCTGAAAGCTGGGTCATCCTTCTTAGGAGACGAGAGAGAGAAAGAGAGAGAGAGAGAGAGAGAGAGAGAGAATTAGATTAGCTTTGCACAGAGTGAGAACATAATAAAGGAATTAGCTCTGACCATAAGTAGAAGGTTGTCAGTTGCTGAATAAGATCCTACTGATGGTTTTATCAGAGAACAGGAAATATGTTGGGACCACAGAGAGAGAAATACTTATTATTTTGCTTTGAGGCTTGGTTCATATTTTACGGTAAAACATTAATTAACTAAAGAGCAATTAAAGCCCCCTGAATTGATAAGCTTATTGTAAGTGGATGAAAAGCGTAATGTAAAATAGATTTTTCTCTTGCTATATTGAGGGCCCTTGCTGGACACACAGGATTGGAATACAGGTTGCCCAAGGTCAGAAGCTTGGGAAGGTGTGGAGGAGCCAGGACATAAACAGACCTGTCAGGCATCCATGCTGGAGCTCATAACCACTGTACTACACTGCCTCCTACTGTTGGCCCCAAAGAGTGTATGTTAAACACAAGAGAAAGAATGAGTAACAGTAGAGGCATGAACTCCCAAACTCTGTCCCAGAACTCAAGGCAACTGTCTTGCTGAGTGAGAGTAGGGGGACTGCATGTGAAAGGGATAGATGGAAGGGTATGATGGGTTCAGTCAAATGCCTGACCTTCTAGACTAGGGCTTTAACATTCTTCTATGGGTATTTGAGGGTCACCAGGAAATTGAGGCATGCAATTGGAGAATCGGTTCGGTGCCAGGTGCAGGAGAGATTAGAAGCAGGCATGAGATCAGAGAGCCTAGCCGTGGTTGCTTAGAGAGGGACAGAGACCTGAAGTGGAGGTGGTGGGAAGGCAGGAAGAGGTCATCCGTAGAAGGCTCACTTGGACTGGCTTAGCACTCACGTAGAACGCTGACATTTACTAATCACGGAGTCTGGGTGGAGGCACCGTTCATTCTAAGACTTTCCAGGGAGTGCCTCAGACCTCACAGCCGCCCCCTGACACAGGTTCTAGACTGCTAGAGAACAAAAGGAGTCAGCAAGGTGATGGTGTGGTTTTAGGATTTTAAGCAACCTCTCGGGTACACTTTTCTCACTTTATGTTCAGTAGGATTCCTGGGGCTCTTGTGTATATGAGGGAAGGATCATTTCTTCCCTCAGGAAAGGAGAAGATTCTGGCAGTCATCGTTCATACAGCTTCATTCCAGACAAGTTAGAGGAAAAAACACACTTTTACCTGGAGGGAAAGGATGGTTGATTCTAAATTGGGAGAAAAGGATTTAAGGAAGGGTGCCTACACTCGGAGAATCCTAATAAGGTTTTGAAACCATATCCTTCCTTCAGTTGCCCTGGGATGCCCTTTAAGTTGGTTTACACTTTCTCTACACCAGACAGACAAATATGTTAGACAGCCCAGAATTAGAGGCTGATAAGCACAATAAGAAAATTGTGTCCATTGTAACACAGCAGAATGAGATAGAGGGACTTAAAGAAATATACCGGGCAGCACACAGAATTATTCCTCATTCCAAAGGGAATAATGAAGTCTGGCATTGGTTATACTTGAAGAAAAAAGAATCCCAGTGGTTTTGAATTTAGTAAAATCAAAATATCTAGATCCATTATCTCTGTGGGTGAGTAAAAGAATACAAGTCTCCTATGAGCTCGGTCTGAAGATATTCACACCCAGGCTAGTTTCCAGGGCCCTTGCAGAGCTTAACCTTAGGACCAGCCTCCATTGCACTAGTTTTTCTCAGCTTCTTTGTCTCGCTAACCTCTCTGGACAAAGCTATGTTGCTAGGGACTTCTTCATGGAACGGGGGGACTGAGCGAGGCTACTTGCTTTGGAGTGTACTGGAGGTGCCGCCTGGGGGGCATGCTGTCCCCTGACATCGTCGCACATGATTAACACCTGCAGAGGACTTTCTAAAATATCAGCACTTTCTCTCGTTGTTCCCCGGAAGGAGGGCTTCCGGCCCACAGGCAGCCGCGGGTGGGGAGCGCCAGTCTTCCGGCTGGCTAGCTTCCTGCCTCGTGGCTCCCGGAGGGTGGCCCCCAGCGCACGGGGAGCCTCGGGCGGGGAGCACCGGTCTTTGGGGTCTTGGGACTGGCGACTCACTCCCGGCCTCGTCGTTCCCTGGAAAGAGGGCTTCCGGCCCTTAGGTCAGCCGCCGCCGCTCAATTGAGATCTATCATGACACAGAGAAACAGTGACACAATTGGCCCACCA